AAGAAGAAGAAGAAGAAGAAGAAGAAGAAGAAGAAGAAGAAGAAGAAGAAGAAGAAGAAGAAGAAGAAGAAGAAGAAGAGCAGCTTTAGGGACAAAGCTGTAGGACTATGGAAGAGTATAGAAATTTTGGGAAATTGGTCAAGAAGACAGGAAAGAAAGAGAGGAGAAAACAAAAACAAGAACTGAACAGAGCAACAACAACAAGCTAGAAAAAATTTTCATTCATGTAAAAACAAGAACAACCAAGAAAAAAGAAAACAAAACAAGAAAATAATAAATTAAAAAAAAAGTTTCTACTTCAAGGCATGTCTCTGCTGTCACTGGTAGACAATTGGGAGACAACATTCAGATGTGTGTTGCCTCATCCCAGCAAGCCTATCACTGCTTTATGACAGGACAATGGATGATCTCAGAAAGCCTCCACCTTTAGTTCCACTGAAGTTCAGGCTGGTTGCTGGATGTGATGTTCAAACTTGACTAGTTCTGCCTGTAACATTCTCTGTGCTTCATGTCAGCTTTAACTCAGCGTCTTGACCTTCTTCTCTCTTAGATTTGGTTCCACCTTACCTTGCCAAAGGGACCACTAGATGAAGCCAGCCTACAGCTGCTCTGAGTTTGGGACTCAACTGGCCCATCTCCAAGATGGTATCAGCCAATCACCTCTCCTGGGAGATGTCTGAACCCAAGTAACCCAAATGACTCAATCAGTCACTGCAGTTTGTGACATTCACTACTGAGTTCTACTGGTGCCTTCCTCCACAAAGGCTTCTGTGGTTGCTAGTAGTCACTGTGCATCTGCAGGCTCAAGTCACCCCTCCCACACAATGAGTTAGGGCTTAGAGAGAAAGTACCACTTGACACTTCCTACTTTTTCATTGACGTATGCCTCTGCTCTCCCTGTGGGCTTCACTTCCCACTTTAGATCCTTGCTGTGTCCTGGAGTCCAACTTCCCTCCTTCTTCTCTTCCTTATATTGCTATATCACAGTGTCTGGATACCAAATCTCAGGCTATTTTTCCTGCGGCTCGCCATTTCACCACCTTCCTGGAAGTCCAGAGTACTTCCAAATAGCTGGTCCAGAAATTAGTTTAGGTCCGTGTTTTCCTTTCAAGCAAGTATCTCCTCATACCTTATTCCCTCATGCTCCACAATGAAGCCACTCTCAGTGGAGCAGAAGAAAGGCAGGTCTGGTGAGCTGAAATGATGTCTTTACTGTACAGTAAGTAATTTTTAAAAAGCTACTGGTCTATACAATACACTAAAAATTAATGACTTGAGAGTAACTGTGTAAAAATAACTGATTTTACTAAAATTATTTCTTATTAAGCTGAATTTTAAACACTACCTGTGTTTTTTAATTTTTAATTTTTAAATATATATAATTTCACCTTATTAATACAGAAATTCTTATGTTATTGAAAGACATTTATCATAAACTGAAGAGTGATAGAACTTGAAGATTTAATTCTCTTTAGTTTTTGTGCTACTTTGTTTTTGTAGCACAGGTGATTGAACCCATGGCCTTGCACATACTAGGAAAGTCCTCTACCACTGGGCTACATCCATATCTCTTTTTATTTTTGAGAGAGGATCTCACTAAGTTGTGCATATTGACCTTGAATTAGAAATCTTCCTGCCTCAGCTTTGGGTAGGCATCACTTTGGCCTGTGTATTTGTTCTTTTCTGTTCCCTCTCCCTGCTTCTTCTTCCTCTCTTCTTCTCCCCCTTCTTCTCTTTCTCCCTATATCATTTTTCTGCATTGTGATTAGCTGCTTCCCAAATTTTGGCTAGAAATTAGGATCTATGAGAAATAGCTTTTCATTCCAAGATAACTAAAGAACTAAGGCCCTCTAGAGGTGAAAATACTCTGAAATGCTCACGTGAAATAGCCTTAGGCTTTGCTCCCTGTCTGGTAAGCAACACACAAATTTTATCGTCAGCCTAGGGAGCTACATTAAGGTGCTAAATGAGCACCTGTCTTATTTAAGACTTCTTCAATCAGTAAGAACTTCAAATTCTAAAAAGTGTTTCCTCTCCTGACTTTTTATGAGATAGCTTGAGCAGTGTTTCAACCAGAGGGTAAGCTGTAACTCATTGCCTCTTAGCCAATATCAGAGTAAAATGTGCAAATGTAAAGATTTGCAAACAATTAAATTTTCCTCTTTATTAAGGAAAATTTATATGATCTTTCCAGCAATTTCAAATCAACTGATTAGTATTAGCCTTCAATCAAAAAGACAATACAATTTGAAAGAACCCACTCTGCAGGCTAGAAAATTAACACGTCTTCCTAAAAGAAAATCCTGATGGACACACTGGGGGCAGTTCCACAGTACTGTTGGTTGAGCCAAGCACCAGCTGACAAAGGATGAAAAGTGGACATGGCATTTGTTTTGGTATCACTGGATGCCTTGTAATAGCAACCTGTATGGTCATGCATGTTTTATTCTCTCTTTGTTATGTTTTCCAGAGGGATGACCAGTTGGCTATAGAGTAACAAATGAAAGGTAACCTGACTCTATTAACCTGCTTGCCTCTGCCTGGGAATGATGGAAAGGAGCAACCTTTTGCTTTGAAAGAGTGAAAGAGGTATGGAATAGCTCCCTTCATTACTCCCTTCTTTTATTTCTTTTTACGTCTACTTCCAGGCCAGTTGAAAACAGCAAATTGCTCCTGTTTGAGGACAGAATCAGAGTCACAGAAACAGGTACTGTGGGTTGCTTGTAACATTTCTGAGTTGCCATCTTCAGTCGCTGATTGTATGAGCAATTAAGAGATAATTATTTTCAAAGAAATAGCAAATAAGTAGTAATACTAAGAGTGGTTAGTTTAAATACAGGCTTGGCATTTTGAATTTATATTAGCTGAAAGATACATGACTTTGATTATGGAGATTTTGTTCTACAATTTCTATAAAGGAATCATAGAAGTAATAACAAAATAGTACAATATGTTGATTTCCACAATGACAGCCATGAAACTATGTTTGCTGTGTTTAACATGTTAATATCCTCCATACACATCCATTTTCTCAGTCATGAAGATAAGAAAGGGACAGTTTAGGGCTGGGATGTAGCTCAGTGGCATAGTATTTGCCTGGCAAGTGCGAGTTCAATTGCAGGTACAAAAAAGGCATAGCTTGATTCTTTTTGCACTTTTCAAAATTCACGTGGTAGATACAAATGAAGCTTTTTTCACTTTTAAGGGAAAATTTGATCTCAACATGAAAAATATAAAACATCATTCTGTGAGCTCCTGGAATTAGAATTTTTAAAATACTTAATTTGAGTCAATGCCCATCATCATCAAGGTGTTGTATGTTCTTCCTATAACTTTTACCCAAAAATGGAGAACAGCATAAGATTTGGCAGTGACTGTACAGTGGTCACTGTTCTAAGAAATTATATATTAATGGCACTATAATGCAGCTAGAATGTCATTTTAAGCTCAGAAGACTATTATGTAATAGGTGATCAAAACTAAATTATTTAATGACTTCACATGGAAACACTCCCATTAGGTAGCTTAGAGATGAGGACTTTGAATAAATAATGAAGAATTAACTTACATAGGAATATTAGAATTCAAAAGACTCCATAAAAGAATTCATATTGCTATAATTGTGTTTTATGTAAGATCTTAAATAAAGTTATGGCTCCATTATTTAAAGTTGTTTAGGAAGAGTTTTTATAGGGTATCTTGAATTCTGCTCTGTAGTTAGTATGTCTCAGGGCATGATATAGTTTTGTACATTAAGACTTTCAACATATTACTCTATAGCTACTGATGACATAGGGGAAAAATGATCTCGGTGGATGACCTCCAAAAGATATAAGGAAAAAATGAATCTCCCAACCTGAAAGGTACCTGGGACGAGTTTGTGTTCTCTAAAACCAAAGAGTGAACTTTAGGAACAAATGGAAGTTATGAGAAGAATATATTTATTGGGGGAAAAGACAGCTCCTGTCTGAGAGGACAGGAGGGGGGCCCAAACAGGTGGTCCCCAGGAAGCTATCTCTTCAGGGACTTTTATAGAGGAAAACCATAGGGTCTAAGGTGGTGGAGAACATGGGAACTCGCTTAGGTGGGCATGAGGTGGGACAAAACTATGGTCAACCAATGAGATTACAAGCACCATTGTTCAGGTAAAATTGATTAAATCCAGTACCAAATGGGGAAGGCAGTCATGTAGCAAGCAGATGTGAATAGGAGATGGTCTCTTCCTGTTGCGGGTTGGGTTAGTGACTCATTTGGGCTCTTTTAAGGTGACTGATACTTATTTAGAATATACATCATTGATGCCCATCCCTAGGGAAGTATGTAGCTGTATGTTTCCTCTTTTGTCTTGAAGTCTGGCCCATATGGGAGTGTCTTGTCTCTTCCAAGTTGCAAAGTCACCTTGTTTTCTGTATTGTCTCCTTGAGGGCCTGGCCCAGTCTGACTGCCTATAACATTTCTATCTAATTCAACTGCCTACAACACTGACACTAAATGTCATCTAAATCAACAATATATGAAGAATCTGGTTTCTAGCTTATCAAGGAGACAGAAAAGTGTGCTGTTGTCTTTGATGCATAAAGCAATTTTATAATCTTTTATGTTTCAATCTATAGAATCAGTTGACTAGTAACTACATTGACCAACTTCTTATGTTTCAAAATAATGCAAATAGACTTTTTAAAAGTTGTCTTCATTAAGAGATACTAGCTATCTAAAATGAAAGCTTTCAGGAATAGGATAACTAAGACAGTAAACTAAAATTGTCAGGCCACCCATTGTGAGCAATGATCAATCCACACCTAAAAGCATTAGTCAGCTACTGGATTTCATTTAGCAGAAATAAATTATGATGTTATTATATTTCTAAATTAAGTAGTAACTTGGAAGAGAACAAACCAAAGGAAAAACTTGTCATTATATCTTTGTGAGTATGAATTTCTATGTATGAAACTGAGAAGTGGAATCTGCCTTCTTTTATCCATTAGAAAGAAGTATGTAAGACAACTGTGGGCCTAAAGCAGAGAACAGAAATCTCACTCTGCTTCCAGAGTTGTTCTCTGGAAAGGTTTAATGTAGACCCTTATTAAGCCCATCTCCCTTGTTTTTCACATGGGTTAAACTGGAAGAAGACGACTTTTGAGAAAAATTTACCATGGCTGAAAAAGGACTTTGCCAGGCTCCCTGTACTGCCTTAGCCCCAAGTAGAAAGGATACTGGACCAGCTGCTGGCACCCTACCTTCTAGGAACCTCAGTGTCTTCCCTGGCATATGCCTGAATGTTAATTTTGAGGCTGCTTTGTTCACAGATATTGGTGTACCTAGCAAAAATTATGCCCTGTAAGTCTAATATACCCCATTCACATCACCAACTATTTAGCAGAGAAAAAAAAAAGTAATACCCAGGAATTTCAGAATGGAGCTGGAAGAGTGTTTTTGTTTTGTTTTTTCTGTAGGTGGCAGGAGCAAGTTTAACAAATACTAGACGGATGCAGCAGTGGATGATGTGAGAATAGCCAGGGCTATCCAGAGATATCTCAGGTAGTTTTGACTCAGTAGCCAGGAATGTTCACTTTTATCTGCTTACAAACTGGGCCACAACAGAAGTTCCTAAATTCTTATATAACTTGTATCCTAATTCTACATATAGGATTAGTGGCTGCCTTAAGGAAGTAACATTGCAGTATATTCTCTGTCTCTGTCCCTTTTGACCTGGGGTCAGGTACAGAGGCAGGTTGCACTGGTGGAGTGTTATCCCTATTCAGAGTTTTTGGAACAGGGAAATACAGTACTGAGTGTGAAAGTTATTTGTTACTTGTAAGGCATCTTCAAATATTGTTGTATGTATCAGTCAGAGCTGAAACAATGAGCCACGAGCTGAAAGAAATGACGGGAAGCCTGGATTAATACAGCCAGAGAATTCCCCAGCCTAATCTCTAAGTGAGTCCAGAGCCACAGAGCCATCGAAACTTCTCACATGTGTTGAGGGCTACAAACAGTGAAGGAATGTGCGTAACTAACTTGGTATAAACAAACTATTATCTCTGTTGCCTTTCTGCATTCACCAAACTCCAGGTTCACACAATGCTAGCTGATAACATCCCAGGTGAAGGATCAAAGAGCAGACAGGGAGCCTCCAGGAAGTCCTCTCTGTGGCCTTTTGTCCCAGCCTTCTGAATTTATAAGAGACAACGGGTCTCCTTGGGCTCTGTTTCTTGCTCTTTGTGCCCTCAGGACATCAGGATTCTGTCTCATATCACTACAAAATATCAAAGATTTCACAATGTGGCACACCAGCAAAAACACAGACTTTAGAATTCTATAGATCTAAATTTGAGGCTCACCTGTGTCAACCTGGGAAAGTCATCTTACTTCCATCAGTCTCAGTTTCCTCATTTATAAAATGAGACAGCAGTACATAGAGGCCCATGCTTGTTACCACTTAAGAGTTACCAGCTAGCTGTTTTCTAAGATCCTTCATACGATAGAATTAATCATCTAATCTTGAATTTATGAAAAACAGGAAAAGACTATCTGGTCCTCAGAGTGGTAGACGCAAGCAGCTGACTTTGGCAACCCTCAGAGAGTAGGCATCACTGAAGGCCATGGCTGAAGACTTCGTATAACCACATTTATTTTATATATTTTATGTTTATATAATCTTTGTTTGTGTATTTTGCTTATGTCTTTTATTAAGGGAAACAGTTTCCTGGGGCTCAGATCACTTTTGCCAACATACGGCTCTATGCCCTTGCTGTGGGAAGTCCTCAGGAAAAGGCAGATCATCTGAATGCTTATCTGTTCACTCACTATGAGACATAACTGTCATGTGGGCCAGTATAAGAACATGTGATCACAGAGAGCACATTGGCCAAGCATTGGCCGTGACTCATCCACATGGCTGACACTGACAAAGGTTCTACAATCTGAGGTACAGGATCTCAGGAT